TACATATAAAAATCCAGTGTCTGGAACAAAGTCAAAGATAATCAGATTAATAAGAAAAGATACAAACATCATGAAAGCACAAACATCATGACCCAGAAGCAGCAGAAAAAGAAAATCAATGAAAATAATTCCCCAGAGATCTCCAATGTGAAAATTATCAGACTCTAAAAAACTGTTTCCTGTGTTTAAAGAGATCAAAGGTAATCTAGGAAGACGTTATTAGGGGATTAATAATTATGCCGGGTGACATACTGGATTGGAAAAGCAACCACATACAACTTCTGGCAAGGAGACAGTGGATAGTTGTGCTCCACAATGACGGAAGTTTGTCAGACAAGTAAATTGGGTGGAGACATGGGCAGAGGAGATGAGTAGATATGCAATGAGCAAATGGACACATACGTATTATGACTTGCAGTCTTAGTTGGATAGGGAGGAAGTGAAGCCAGCAGGGGCTGAGTAGCAGTGATAATACCTTCAGGAAAATCTCAGTATGCTGCTTTCCAAATAGTTCCAACCAGATTTGCAGGATGACTTCTAGTCTTAGAGAATCCAGGCAGAAGATAGAGTACAGGGCATGGACCTCAACACAATGAATGTACTGTCAGATGCGATAATGGGATCAAGACCAACTGATCATTTCAGAAGTTTTTACTAAGAAATATTTTAATGCATTAAGGAACTGTTTAGATATACTAAGGCAGACAGCTGGAAATCTCCTCAACACCCTGAACTGCTTGGCTCTGGTCTGGATATACTGTTGAGCTGTGCAGGTTCTATTGAAGAGTTAGACTTCTCCGGAGAATTAGTTTTAAGATAAGATTTGGGACTGGTTGCCAGGATATCCACTTGTGTGTATTTTTCTGAAGTAGGAAAAGGACCAAATAAAATAATTGAAACCATCAGCATCATCAACAACATCATTACTATCAACAATTCCCACAAAACAGGAAAAAAAATGTTTTCCAAACACATACTATGCATTGAGACCTTGATGCAGAACACTTGCTAAGAAAGGCAGAGAGGGGGCTAGAGAGTGAAGGGTATCAATTAAAATCATTCAGATGGTAAAGACAACCACAGAGCGAGAGCCTGTTACTCTCCTAGAATCACCACCTGGGTTATTATTAAGGTTTATTGTACATTGTCGGCGATTGTCTATTTTTATAAGACAACAACTCATCACTAGCCCATGAGGGCTGAGTCCATGATCCATGTCACTTTCAGTTTTGCAGCCTTAAATTGTCACCAACAAGTGCTTCAAATTCCCAAGTCATCATTATTTTCAAAGCTTTTGAGTTCTGATGTTTCAGGAAATAATTCATGGCCTCCTTTCATATAAATCATTGCTTGTCTCTGCAGACCCACTTTTCCCCCATGTGTGATGAACATGGTAAAGCCTCTGTTCGGAGCTTCTGTGAGTGGGACTGAGAGAGAACCCTGATGCTTTGTGCACAAGAAGGAAATGTCTCTGTGATGCTGTGGCTAAGCTGCTGGCACAGAAACACACAGCCGAGTCGCCCAGCTCTGCACGCTGCATCTTGAGAGTGGAGTCTGCTCTTTTGGGCCTCTCTGCAGAAAATCGATTCTTAGGCAGCTGTGAATCATCCACTGCATCTTCATTCTCAAAGCGAACCAGCAGCTCCAGGCCCTGTCCTGGGATCTGCTGGTACCAGCAAAGGGTTTGGTGGCCAGAAATGGGATTGCACCACAAAGCCATGGCCTGACTCTTATCTATGACCTTATGTCTGAGAGACTGGGTAACTCCACCTGCTGTGAGTTCTGTGGCGGGGAAAGACAAAGGAAATATAAATGATTGGCATAACCACTGGAAAGATAAAATGCAGGGATCTTAGTGTTCTTAGACTCACCTGCCCCCAGGAGACAGAGGGTCACCCAGCAGAGGAGCCTGGTGCCCATGGCAGGGTCAGGACAGGAATGAGAGGTTCACCAGGTCAGGGTCCTTGTGAGCATGAGCAGAGGGAAGGGGTGTCCTCACAAGGCAGTCCCCACAGTGACATCACTGTCTCTGCAAATGCACAGTCTTAAAAACCAATTGTTATGAACTAACACATGCCTTCATGTTGGTTCAACACATTCATAGACTGTGTGTAAGTTCATCCAAGTGTCCTTCACTCATTGCCCCAGTGCTCGAGTGATTCATTGCATTTTCCACTTCATCTCTACATCTCCCATCTCCATCCTCTAACTCTCTGCTGGATGTTTCATTGTGTGAGAGGTGAGGTGGAAAGGATTAGAGAATGGAGAAGGCCCTGGAAGTTGGTATGGAAGAAGAAAGCAAGGAAATGTGTGTTTCAAGAGGTGGAAAAAGTACAGCCGTGTGCTCACAGGTATTATGCTGAGTCTCAGAAACCTAGGGCTTACATGCCAAGGTTACCAAGTAAAGACCTGTAGGTGTAGAATTATCAGAACCATCTGTCTCCCTCAGAACTGCTCTGTCATTGAGACAGAAAGGCTGCTGCTCTGAGTCCAGCTTATGTTAGCACCAGATAATAATTCCATGTTGGAAACATTCTTCACGTGGAGGTGTCACTACTTGTTCCACCTTTGTGGCCAGAAGTTAAAGGTTCTAAGTGACAATGGCATTAGGGTGAGTAAAGACTGAGTAGCTGGAGGTGGGTCCTATCAAGATACACACAAAATGCTTGAAATTAAGGCATGCCATTTCCAGAGAAGAAATCCTCCACGTGTTCCCAGCCCCTCCCTCCCCCAACCTGCTTCCTGGGCAGCACATGCAAAGAAATCCATGAACGGATCTGTGTCAGGGCAGGAATGGGGCAACTTGCTGCTCATTGCGGGAAAGGTTAGAGATCTGGGAAATCTGACTCTTGTTAAGGATAGTTGCAGTGTTACCACAGCAACTGAGACTAGCCCAGACGAGGTCTAGAATGATTTCCTCTCCTCTCCTACATTCACATTGTGCCATCCCCTACAGCATCTGGGGCACACAACTGGAATGGGTTAGGTTTGGGGTCCACGTGCACATGTAAGTTTCTCTGATGGCTTTCAAAGGCAGTTTCCATTTGCAGGGGGCTGGCTCCTGACTCCCCTCTGCGAGTCCTTGTAGGGAATGTCCAAACATGGGATACACTTAGGGAACCCCAATACAGTGACTGCCACAGGCAATTTTTAAGGGAAAGGCTTGGAATCAGCTTACATAACTTTTACCCACATCACATTGTTCCTGACCCTCCAACTGCAAGCGAGGCTGGGAATCATAGAGGAGCCTGGGGATTTGGTGACCAGGAAGGGTCTGTCACACCATTCTTCCTCACTGGCTTCCATTCCTCATGCTCCTTCCAGAATGTAACTTACCCTTTCATGCTCTGTTGTGTGTTTAATATACAAGGGTATAATTTAATGCAACTGAAGTTATAAGTGTTTTTGTAAATATTTGTATATTACATTATTTTTATAAATATTTACATGTTATAAATATTTTTGTGTTCTTTTGTGTCTTTACTTAAAAAAAAATCCTCCCTTAAATGAATGTCTAAGTATATTTTAGTAATTTCTCCTAGTAAAATCTAAGTTTTCACAATTAAGAGTAAGTATGCCTAAAATATATTTTCATGCAAGGAATGAAGTGGAGATTCAGAAATAAGAGAGCGGGACATAGGTTTTATGCAGAAGACATAGCCTGTAAAAAAAGATCTCTAAGGTGGTGGATCTGCAGAAGTAATTGAACTTAGATGAATGAGTCTGGGGCAGAGAGAGACTTGTACAAGATGACCATGGAAGTCAAGGGCAAGGTGAAGGGCAAACATTACAGGACCTTGTAGGGCTATTGCCTCATAGGAGAAAGGCAGCCAGGGGCAGATTCTTCTGAATGAAGAAGGTTAAAGACTGTAAGTTGAACGGTAAGAGAGGGTGGGGGCAAGGGTAGAAGAAGAAGCCACTAAAACCCGTAGAACAGAAAGAATATGGGGGCTTTGAAATTATCAATGGAATTTTCATATATCTCTACTTAAGATACTTTTATTATTATTATTCTTTACTGCAAGCAGGAAGAGAGAAAGTGGCAGAAGAGAATACCAGTGAGCTAAGGAGGTTGGGGTGGCCTCCGGTCAGGCTGAGCCTGGCCTAGGGATGGACTTCAGCCCTGAGGGCCATGATGCCCACGGCTGTAAGAGTCCTGTGCTGGCAGGAGCTTCCTGGGGTTTAGCCAAGCCTCAGAGTGCAACCTCGGGTTTTCTAACCATCCTTTTTGTGCAGGGAGGAGGCAGCCATGCAGCGCTGTGTATCACTGCTGGCACAGAAGTACACAGATGTCTGGGAGGTAGTAGCAGACTCCAGCGTGAGGGGGAAGTCTTCTATGTTTGATCTAGTGACATTGTACCCATCAGGGACATCTCCTTTACTAATGCCGCCGACACCATATGAGTACTGGATCAGACTCAGCCCATGGCCAAGGTCTTGTCGATACCAGTACATATAGTTATGGTTATCAGTCTGGTTACACCTTAGGGTCACTTTCTTTTCTGTCTGTGTGACCTTGTATCTTGGACTCTGGGTGATTCGGGCATCCAGGTTTCCTGTAAGAGAGAGTGACAGAGCCTGATATTGTCATCCTAAGACAAAGGCTTGGGTTGAGGTCTTGGGAATCCAGAGCAGGAAGCCCACCATACTCACCTGCCCACAGGAGACAAAGAAACACCCAGAAGAAGAGCCTGGTGACCATTTCAGGTCCAGGGCAGAATCTCATGTCTTCCTGTTCTGTTTTGAGAAAAATAGACTCAATGATGTCACTGTCCTTGACAAATGCTTGAGCTTTAGAGCTAACCTGCCACACCCCTTCGCCACAGGAACAAATCAATGATCATCTCAGTTACAGGAACCACCTGATGTCCAGGAAGTTTTTAAAACCTCAAGGTCAGGCTGAGGCTGGCCTAGGGATGGACTTCAGCCCTGAGGGCCATGATGCCCACGGCTGTAAGAGTCCTGTGCTGGCAGGAACTTCCCGGGGTTTAGCCAAGCCTCAGAGTGCAACCTCAGGTTTTCTAACCATCCTTTTTGTGCAGAGAGGAGGCAGCTATGCAGCACTGTGTATTCACTGCTGGCACAGAAGTACACAGATGTCTGTGAGGGGGTCGCTGACTCCAGTGTGAGGGCAAAGTTCTCTGTATTTGATCTAGAGGCACTGTACCCATTGGCACCATCTCCTTTGGTGGTGAGCCTAGCACCAACTGAGTAATAGATCAGCGTCAGCTCATGGTTCAGGTCTTGGCGATACCAGTACATATAGTCATGGTTATCAGTCTGGTGACAACTCACTGTCAAATTCTTTTCTGTCCCTGCAATCTTGTATCTTGGGCTCTGGGTGATTCGGGCATCCAGGTTTCCTGTAAAGAAAGCCACAGACCTGATGTTGTCATCCTAAGATGAAGGCTTGGGCTGAGGTCTTGGGAATCCAGGGCAGGAAGCCCTCCTGTACTCACCTGCCCACAGGAGACAAAGAGCCACCCAGAAGAAGAGCCTGCTGACCATTTCAGGTCCAGGGCAGAATCTCATGTCTTCCTGTTCTGTTTGGGGGAAATAGACTCAGTGATGTCACTGTCCTTGACAAATGCCTGAGTTGTAGAACTAACCTGCCACACCCCTTCCCCACAGGAACAAATCAAATATATATATTTGAATAGTTCAAGTGGAAAAATTTTGTAAGTCTGTTTTTTAAAGAAATCTTGTAAGTATATATGCTTTTTTCCCCTGCTTTTGGGTAAGGAAATTTGTCCCTCTATGCATAGTGACATAATTCCTTATTTGTATATTGTTACAATTATTCACAATGTCTCTGCTGGTACTTTGGTGACTTCACTTCAAAATTTATCTACAGATACTTTCTACTAGTTTTTCTCTGCATAAATTCTGGATAATTTAGATGTTACCCTTCAGCGAGCCTCTCAGTTACAGGAACCACCCGATGTCCACAAAGTTTTCAAAGCCTCAATGTCAGAGTCATTGGATTCTGAAGAAGTGTTTTATGTTGTCTCACAATTTTCTGACTGATGGGAGCCCTGCCATCCGTGCTCTGGTTCCTGTGTGCTTGTGAATAAGAGTTCTCCCTTGGTTTCAGCTGAAGCCACAGAAGACTGGACCACCCAAGTTCCCGTGTCTGCTTTTTGTAAAGAAGAGAGAAAATTCATTAGCAATGTGGAAGAAATATTCAGCCAGAGCTACACGTGTCTGATGCCTCCAGGATCACAGTGAAATGTTCTGTCTCCATTGAGAGGTCTTGCACCCACACAGAATGGGAGAATATTGATTGAATCGTAAGTGAGCTACAGTGACAGGCTTGTAACTAGTCAATACCAGTTGGAGCTGCTATTTCTTATACAGGTTATATCTCAGTGTGAGGTGACACCATTTCTATGACTGCATATCTTGATGTCATCTCAGTGGGCAACTATAATCACACCACAGTGAGAAAGGACAGGAAATCAGAAATCAGAGGTGAGGAGGAGGTTGATGCGTCATCGCATGGAAAGGCTGGCAGCTTGGGGCCTGGCCAACCCAGGAAGGGCCTTTACATCTTATCCATGATTTACTTGGTCTGAGGGGACCAAGAGCCACACAGCAAAGGAGCGCACTTCCTGAAACAAGATCAGTGCAAAAAAGAAGAGTTTTTCATCTAGGACTCATATTATTTGGTTTAGAGTACATGGAATCCCAGAGATTTGAGGAATGTTCTCAGAATAAGGCATAATCTACCCATAATATTAGTATTCTTGATAATACCTTAATTTCTTTAAGGACATAAGCATTCACCAGGACAAGTTTCTTTGTAATTTATTTTTAAATTAATTAGAGTCCCAAATTTGAAGTTGTGGAAAACAGGTACCTCATCTCAAAGCTTTTTTTGGGTTTTTTATTTTTTACACTGGTGTCTCCCAAGCACCTGGAGTAGTGCCTACACTATGGTAAGTCGTGAAGCATGGATTGGCTATGCAGGCAATAAAGAATAATTTTAGGCCTTCTCATTTGCACAGGAACTTACCAAGACTTCTGAAATATTTTTCTATTCTATTCTTCAAAGAGCACCCTAAAATTTGATAAGCTTTCATCCCCACAAAGTCCAAACTACTCTGTACCTGTATTCAATTAGTGTTTGTTCAATGAATGATGAAAAGAATGAATGATTATCAGAGTCCAGGCAGACTGCACTTCTGTAAAGATAACCCAGTCTAGTCAGTTACAAGTAGGTTCAGAGCTTGAAGGGAGCAGAGACCCATGTGACTCTGCTGGGAATTCAAAATAAACCAAAGTGAACAGGGGCAAGATTCATTCATATATGTTATTATAAGACTTTTTGTTTTTATAGGCCTTTTTGAATGAATGGTTGTCAGAATGAAAGAAATAAACATGATGGTCACTTCCTTCCATCACTGTCACTGTTTAGGCTGCCCCCAGAGGCACAGTCTGAGATGAGGATTTAGGTGCAAGTAGTTTATTTAGAAAATGACCTCAGGAAGCAGGAGTAAGAGAGTAGTGAGGAAGAAACTAGGAAGGATAAAATCAGAATAAGGTGCAATATTGCGGTTGTGCAGGGACATCAGGAGATGGATTTTGTTGGAACCTGCAGAGAAGCACACAGACCACCTCCTGGGCTGTCCTCCTGGATACAGAGGCTGAGCTTTCATCCCTGGCTCCTTTCCTTCCAGGAGCATTAGCACTTCTGCAGCTCTGACTGCCCTGGGGTACAGGCCACGTGGGCTTCCATTATAGAGAGGAGGCCAGAGCAGAAAGCAGGGGGGCTCCCAGCCTGCAAGTGAGGGGGTAAATGCTGTCAGAACCAGGTAAATGCACATAAACTTGCATGTAATTGTTCACTGCAGCTGAGGCTGATACCAGAGGTGGGATGGGATGGATGGCACTAGAAGCTCCACTATGATGGTCTCTCTTCACACAAGATCGTCCCTTCCATCAGCTCTTCTGTGTGATCACCAATCACTCCGAAGCCACAACTTTCTGGAAACACCACACTTTCTTGCACATCAGACTTACCATTAAAAGGAAGTGCTGTTCTGGGTCCCCTTTACATTTTCCCTTAAGAAGCACCTCTCTGAAGTTAATTTCATCCAATAAATTATCAGATGACAGTATTTGCATTTTAGAGGAGTTTCTGTCTGAACCATACATGAGTCAGGCAAAAGTAAGCCCTGCCTGCCTTTGATCCCAGAACTGCACATATGAAATAATTGTGCTAGACTAGAGATAGGTCAAAGAGTTTATAGAGAACAATAGTGACATGAGCGTATATGTTTTTATTAAATAATTTTGCTTGTGCAAAATCTCTGCAAGACATACATTATTGCCCCCAGGTTACAAATGCAAAAACTCAGACAAATAGTTTCTGAGTCAACATCCTAAGGCAGGTCAGAATATGAACAGACAGGTCCCCAAAGCTGGATCTCCTTCCTCTCCAGCAGGTCCCCTCCCAGGTGAAAGCTGTTATGCAAATGCTTTGTGTTACAGCCTGCATTTCTGAAACGGACCTTTGGGTCAATGTTCCCATTTTGAAGATGCCTCTCTATACCAAATGCAGAAGGCTGGGGTGATTTATAGCATGGGTGGAAGTCAATATGGCCTATTTCTGTGTCCCAATTCCGATATTTGTTAGCTGCATCTTCTTTACCCAAGTATCCAAACTCTCTAACAATCAGTGTTTTCACTTGCAATGTGGGTGATTTGTGCTACCTCCCAGAAAATGTGCAATAAATAAGGTGATTGAGTTAAATGCACAAAATATGTAAAATTGAAGTCGTTTCTTCATTCACCAATAAATTTGTACCCCAGTCCATAAACGTCTACACCATTCATTTAATAGCTGTGATGCTCAGCTGTTTTCTGCAGTTCCTGGCCTGGGCAGAAGTAGCGATTTCAGATGTTCTGATGGAAAGTGGGGACCTGAGGGCAAGCTGAGACCCTCCCTCCTCCATACCCTCCAGTGATTTAGAAACACTGATTCCCTGTAGTAACTCCCAGAATCCTGCCTGAAATACCTGGAAGGCTTCTGTTTCCTTGGCTTCTGTTTCCTTGGTGAATCTTCTGCTAGTCTGGAAATCGCCCTAGTCACTTAGCTCTTCTATTAGGGGGACATCATGGCCTCCCTCTATGTGAACTAGGACAGGACAGATACACGTTCTCTGGCCCCACTTTATCACAGGTGGAGTTCCTGCCATGTGCTAGGAATTGCCAGGTGCTGGCAGAGCTGGGAAGACACTCGAGAAAGCTCTGGCTGAGCTCAGCAGGGCAGGGAGTGTCTTAGAAAAAAACAGAAGCCCTGGAACTCACTAAGGCCCCCACCCTCTCCTGTGACATCCTCAGCTGGGACAGGGAGGTTTGAGTACAGAAAGTCATTGACCCTGCAGGGCTGTGTCTAAGCTGCTGGCACAGAGATACACGGCTGAGTCTCCCAGCTGCAAGGCGCTCATGGCCAGCTCAGAGCTGTAGTTACTGAACTGTTTTCCTGAGAACCGATCAGGAATGTTTCCTTTCTCTCTCTCCTCCTTTTCATAAAAACTAATGAGGAACTGGGGGCTCTGTCCCAGAGCCTGCTGGTACCAGTACACAGTATCGTGTCCAGAGATAGGATGGCACTTCAGAACGGTCTTCCCCTCACGACTTTTGATTAGGTGTCTTGGGAACTGAGTGACTCCAGCAGCCACTGAACCTGTGGAGGAAGCAGACAGAAGCTGGAGACCAGCACAGGAAGGACATGGATACTCGGTAACAGTTAAGAACTTTAGATTCAAGGAATGTCCCACCTGAACTCAGGACTCACCTGCCCCCAGGAGACAGAGGGCCACACAGCAGAGGAGCCAAGGGCCACTGGAAGAGTCAGAAAGGGCAAGACTGGCCATCTCCCAGCTCTGGGTTCTGGTGTTTGGGGTGAGAGAGCAGAGGCTTTTGCACCTCCCTTTGCTCTGTTTGGAGGGGTTGCCTGTGATGTCATTGTTTTGATGTCACTGTCCTTGTAGGCTCCACAGGCAACCTGTACTTCCTGGACAGACTGAGCTGGTGCAGTTATTCCCCCATCTGTCCATCTTCCTATGAACAGGTGCTGCTGGCTGTGCTGAGCTGGACCAGACAGGGTTTGTGGCAGGTGACCATCCCCAGAGCTTCTTTGCTTCCTTGGATCCGGTGCCCTTTGCTCTATACCTGGTTTGAATTATCTAGACTGCCCACTAAAGGAAGTTCCATCACCCTTTCCACCAAACATAGGCTCCAGGAGAGGCCTTAACTCCACGTAGGACCTGGTTCATGGCTCTCTGATGTGACCAACATACTTGCATAGCAGTAAATGTGAGAAGATATGATCAGCAAACCTCTGATTCATCTGATTCATCAGATAGTCTCCCTGATGTAGGGACCAAGCCAAGACTGTCTCCCACAGGGTGCCATCAGTGGCTCACTCCGTGGATCCACAGCGCCCCCAAGCGGCCACTTGTGTAGTAGCAGTGTTGATACTGCCCAGACTGGCTGGGTTCTGTCTGAATTAGGAGTCAGGATCA